CCCCAGCACGACCACACCCCAGCACGACCACTCCCCAGCACGACCACACCGCCTTGGTTGAGTGGTTGCCTGTCGTCGTGGAATGTTTCGTGGGGTGTCTCGTGGAATGTTTCGTTTCGGGGTGTCTCGTGGAATGTTTCGTGAGGTGTCTCGTGGGATGTTTCGTGAAGTGTCTCGTGGGATGTTTCGTGAGGTGTTGCCCAGTTGGGTATCGTGAAAACGTGTCCATGCTCCACGTGTCTATATCCCTTTCCGGGTTCGTGGGTCCATCATGTTATTTCGCAGGCTTTTCGACGCGAGACAGCTCCAAGACGGCTTCGGTGAGACTCTTGGCCTGCTTGCGGGCCACCTTGGGCCTTCTGGGGGCCCCCATCGAGCCTCCTGGGTTGTCTTCGGGGCCTCCTTGGGCCATCTCGGTCCGTCTTCGGGCCGTCTTAGGGCCCTCTGGGCGGTCTTTGACTGCCTCAAGAGAGCCCAAGGGCGGCCCCAGAGGGCTCCCAGAATATTAAAGAAGGCTTCGGAGAGCTTCCAGACGGCCCGACACGCCCTCCAGAGAGCGCCACGACGGCCCAACAGACCCCCAGAGAACCCCGAGACGGCCCAGGACGGCCCCAAGGCCCAAGAGGGCCCAACAAGGCCCCCAATAGTTTCGGCCACAGGGCTCCCAGCACGGCCTCCATATCCGGCAGCACAAAAGCCAGCAGCGGCAGCAATTAGTAGCTAGCAGCAGAAAACAAACAGCCGCTGCATTGCCCGCGGCCGGCTGGCGGCCATCCCCGCTGCCATGGCGTGCGGCAGAGGGTCAGTTGCGACCGCCAGGCCTGCCTGCATGCTAGCAGTGATGTCGTGAAGACAACTGTCTGGCGAGCAGCTATGCGCGCAAAACAGCAGGCAAGCAGGCAAGCGATCTCAGCATCTGCACGTGGGCAGGTTGTCGTGGACGTAAGTCCACGGGTCAGCCCCAGTCTCTACTACATTGCAGGGCCCAGTGCGTACCAGAAGGGCGCAGGATCAAGTAACCAATAATCGCCCCGGGCTGGCCCCGGGCCGCCCCGGGCCGCCCAGGCAGGCCCCAGAACATGTCGAGAGGGCCCCCAGAAGCCCCCAAGACGGCCCCGGAGAGCCCCGGCACGCTTAAAGATGGGCCCAAGACGCCCGAGATTCGCCCCAGGCGGCCCAAGAGGCGTCCAAGACGCCCGAAGAGGCCTCCCAAGAGGCCTCCCAAGAGGGCCCCGAGCGACAGAAATCGTCGATTTCTACTGTGTTTTTCGATGTTTTCGGCCTCCTCGCCTCGTCGGCTTCCCGACGCTCCAAGACGGCCCAAGAAGCCCCCCCGACCGCTCCAAGACGGCCGAAGAGGACCCCAAGAGAGCCCCAAGACGGGCCAGGAGGGCCCCCAGACGGTCCCAAGACGCCCCAGGACGGCCCCAGGACGGCCCAGGAGGCGCCCAAGACGGCCCAAGAGGCACCCAAGACGACCCCAGGAGCGGCCCAAGACGGCCCACGACAGCCCAAGAGGCGCCGAGGCGGGTCTCAGACGGCCCCAAGACGGCCCAAGAGGCACCCAAGACGGCCCGAGAGGGCCCTAAGAGCCCCCCCGGGAGGCCCAAACGAAGGCCGAAGAGGCTCCGAAACGGCCCCCACGAAGCCTTCAGTGCCTTCAGAATTCCCTCCAGGAGCGGGGGAGCGGACGAGAGGCGACAGGCATATCGCAGGCAAAAACGCCCCAAGAGATCCCCAAACGGCCCCCACGAAGCCCTAAGTGGCCTCAGAATTGCTTCCAGGAGGGGGGGAGCGGACGAGAGGCGACCGGCATATCGAAGGCACAAAAGAACAATGTTGGACGCTCCGAGGGCCTTCGATGTTTCTCCGTTGGGGAGAGTCGTCGTAGGATCGACGATTGCCGACCGAGGGCAGCGAATCCAGTGGAGGCCCAAGAGGCCCCCAGGAGCCCCAAAGAGATCCCCAAGAGTTGCCACGCGGCTTAAAAACTGCTTCGAAGCGAGGGGGGCGGACGAGGGGACCGCCTCAGGAGGTTTTGGACGGTTTTGGGCCTCAAAATCGTCCGCTGTACGACGGTCTTGGAAGGATTTTGGCCTTCTCGCCTTTTCCGCTTTCCGACGCTCGAAGACGGCCCAAGAGGCCTCCAAGAGCGCCCCAGAACGGCCCAAGAGGCTTCCAAGAGCGCCCCAAGACAGCCCAAGAGGGCCCCAAGACGACCCAAGAGACGCTCAAGACGGCCCACGAGGGCCCGAAGACAGGCCCAAGAGGGGGCCAAGAGGGGGACCACGGACCGAAAATCCGAGCCTTCCGCCCCAAGAGGGCGCCAGGAGGCCCAAACAGGCCCCCAAGAGGCCCCAAGGGGCCGCCAAGAATCCCCCGAAGAGGCCCCAGGAGGCTCCCAAGGAGCCCAAACGAGGCCCCTACAGAGGCCCCAACAGCTTCCAAAATGGCCCCGAAGAGGCCTCGAGCCCGCCTCCGAGCTTCCTCGCCGCGAGGGTGCCAACACGGCCCCAGACCGGCCCAGGACGGCCCAAGGCGCGCTCAAGACGGCCCAAGACGATTCCAAGACGGTCCCAGGAGGGTGCGCCCAGGACGGCCCAAGGACGCGCCCGTTCGGGGCCTCAAGACGGGCCAAGATGGTAAGAGAGTCCCAGCTTGCAAAAATCGTTAATCCGTAAGGGCTTCGCCCCCTGCCGCCGGCCCCCTCTCTCGGAGAATGGGCCATGGAAGAGCTAAGTCATGAGGCCTTGGCGCTGTCGTGAAGCAGTATCGAAACTTCATGCGAAGCCGATTCGCAATCAGCAAAACCAACTGATCACAAGAGGGGTTACCACACCTGGCGATTGGTAAGACGTGTATGGTTTACGGGCTTGGTTACCACACCTTGCGATTAAAGGGCCGAGGGAGTTCTCGCAGTTTGGGTTACCACGCCTTGCGATGGATGTGCGTGAAGGGTGGCACCGAATTTCAGAAATGTGGCAAATCCCCTGTGTTTTTGGACCCTGACCCCGCGGATCTGCGTAAGGGGTGGCACCGAATTTCAGAAATGTGGCAAATCCCCTATGTTTTTGGACCCTGACCCCGCGGATCTGCGTGAGGGGTGGCACCGAATTTCAGAAATGTGGCAAATCCCATGTGTTTTTGGACCCTGACCCCGCGGATCTGCGTGAGGGGTGGCGCCGAATTTCAGAAATGTGGCAAATCCACTGTGTTTTTGGATCCTGACCCCGCGGATCTGCGTGAGGGGTGGCACCGAATTTCAGAAATGTGCCAAATCCCCTGTGTTTTTGGACCCTGACCCCGCGGATCTGCGTAAGGGGTGGCACCGAATTTCAGAAATGTGGCAAATCCCATGTGTTTTTGGACCCTGACCCCGCGGATCTGCGTGAGGGGTGGCGATTTCGAGCCCCCCCAGCAATTCAGACAACGCGCCCAAGAGACGCTAAAAATCTTGTTTGGGCCTCCCCTCCCCTCCCCTCGCGCGGTCAATCAACTAGTTACAGTAACCAGCAAGAAGCAGAACTGTAACACTGGAAACTACAACCTACGACTGGTACAGGAAACTGCGAATCACGGGCCTACAGCCTGGTGGCCCCACAAAGGGGCCGGCGGATTTTCCATTGTTTACTGTTACACCCTTTGCGTTTCCCGCCGTTTCGGCGGTCCGATGCACCAAGAGGCCCCAGAAAGTCCCAGGAGGGTCCGAGGAACCGCCCAGGAAGGCCCCAAGACGGGCCAAGACGGACCCAGCACAACCCAAGGCGCGCTGCGACGGCTCAAGACGGCTCCAAGACAGCCCCAAGAGGGTGCCAACACGGCCCCTGCTGGGCCCAGGACGGCCCAAGGAGGCGCACAGGAGGGGCCCAAGACGACTCCAAGGCGGCCTCCTCACGGTCCCAGACGGCTCCAAGACAGCCCCACGAGGACCCCGATGGGCCCAGGACGGCCTACGGACGCGCCCATGAGGGGCCCACGACGAACCAAGACGGCCCCATCAGGGCAAACGGCGCCCTCAAGACGGGCCTAGACGGCTCCAAGACGGCCCTTTGAGGGAGCCAACGCGGCCCCACACCCTTCGGGCGCACACTTGGGGGGGCTGGGAGCTTGCGACAAGTCTCCCACATTCATTGTCCTGCCCCATTCTGTTCGCCTGGAGGCCTCCTCCAACCCTGTGGGCGAACAAGAGGAATCCCAGCGGGACGCCAACCCTGGGGCCCGTGGGCCCCGCGCCGCTTGGGCAGAAGACGAACGCCGGGTCTGACAGGCCAGCTACCGCCCCCCTTTGCCCGATATGTTGTGCCATTCTGTTCCCCCAGGGGCCTCGGCAAACTCTTCGGGCCAAGCAGACCGGACCCCTGGGACAGCAGCCAATTGATATGACCCTGGGACCTCTCCGCATTCTTCGGACGAGCATCTGGGGGGCCCAGGAGATTCGGACATGTCTTCCCCATTCCTTGCCCTGTCCCGTTCTGTTCGCCCGAAGGCCTCCACTGACCCTCTGGGCGAACAGAATGGGACATGGCGAACAAACCCTCCCGTTGGCGGTGATGCGACTGGATCGCACCATCAAGGCGCGCCCGGAGGTGATGGCCGACCCAACAGCGGTTTCTCTTAAGAGTTCACTGGATTTCAAATTTTCTTGAAGCTCTCTTGGGCCCTCCCTGTAGATCCTTGCGAGCCTCCCCGGCGCTTTCGGTGGCTTTCCCCGATGGCCTCCCGAGCCCTTCCCCGAGCGCTCCTGAGACGCCTCAGATGGGCTTCGACTTCGACGCACATCCCCGAGAGACTTCGAAACTGTCCTCAATAGGAGGGGGGTGAACGAGCAGTGCGCTGGGCCAAGCTGCTGCAGCGCTGCAAGAGCTCGGACACGAAGGCGCGGTCTCGCTGCCGCCGCCCGAGCCGCCGCCGTGTTTGTAGATTTTCGGTACAATCTGCGCCGTTCCTCCGAGAACCATTCCAGAAAGATGTCGTGGACGGAGTCCACGGGTCAGCCCTAGTCAGCTACAGCGCTGGGATCAGCGCGTGCGAGAAGGGCGGGCAGTGGCAGCGGGCGCTGGCGCTGCTGAGCGAGATGTGGGAGGCGAAGCTGGAGCCCAACGTCATCTGACCTACATCGCAGGCATACGCGCGTGCGAAAAGGGCTTGTCAATCCAAACCCAGGAAAATGTCCCCCGGCGCCTCCGGCGAGCTCGAGGACGAAATTCAACCCGCCCTCGTCGCCCGAGGACGAGATTTCGTGCGAACGTGCCGTGGTCAACTTGCCCGCGCCCCTAGGGGCCGAGCGCTGAGGCCCCGGCCCTGGCGCGGACAAGATTTAACACGCTGCCCAGGTGTGAAATCGTGTCCTCCGGCACAAACGGACGCGCCGAGTCGACCGAATTTTCGGAATCCGAGGGCTCCAGCTCCTCCTCCTCCTCCTCCTCCTCCTCCTCCTCCTCCTCCTCCTCGTCCTCCTCCTCGTCCTCCTCGTCCTCGTCCTCCTCCTCCGCCTCCTCCGCCTCCTCCTCCTCGTGCTCCTCGTCCTCCTCCTCCGCCTCCTCCTCCTCCTCCTCCTGGAATCAGTCCGAAGAGGCCAAGGCCATGAGTTCCAGCTCTCTTACAGATTTCACCCTTCCAGCTCTGTGCAGGCCCCGGTCGCCGACGCTGCCCGCCGGGAGCCCCAGACTGGCTCCAAAAAAAACACACAGACACAACATGAATCGTCGATTCCCCCGAAAATATAGGAAACTATATGGGAAGTGTGGGGGGGGGAAAGACAGAAACCCTGAAAATGTGGGAAAATATGGGTAATTCTTCTATCTGTGTGTATTTATTTGTGTGTCCCAGGGCCCCTTTGTCCAGACGGCCCCAGACACCTTCAAGGACAGGCCCAAGACGCCCCTACAGGAGCCTCCCGAGGCTGCCCACGACGGCCTCTGCCCGGGCCCCACGGAGGCCCACCAAGGCTGGGGGAGGAGGAGGAGGAGGAGGAGGAGGAGGAGGAGGAGGAGGAGGAGGAGGAGGAGGAGGAGGAGGTGGAGGAGGAGGAGGAGGAGGAGGAGGAGGGCCCAAGTGCGCGGCAGGACCGCCCGAGGGCGAAATTCGACGCGGGGTATGGGCCCGAGGACGAGACTTAACGTGAGGGTCCCGCGCCCCCCGAGCTTGAGGACAATTTTTTTTACGCGAGGGTGGCATGTCAAATTCTGTCCGCGGCTCCTGGGGTCCATCGCTGAGGCCTCTGGTCTGCCGCGGACAGATTTAACACATTGCCCAGACGTTGAATATTGTCCTCAAGCTTTCCTCGGCTCCAGGAGCGTCTCGGTGCAGAAAGACTGGAGATGCGCTTTTCCGAAAGATGCCCCCCCCTTCCTTGCTGAAAGAGGACGTAGTCCACGGGTCATCCCATAGATGCTGGCCCCTGGGGACGGGGCGACCGCCGAGATTGAGGCCCTGCACGTGGAGCCCGAGACCACGGGCAACCTCGGGAACAGCTCCGACGCTCTCGGCCGACGCTGCGGCCACCGCGGCAGCAACGCCGGCAGACCACGCAGACAGACTTCCCCCTTGACCGAGTGGAGCCAGGCCGGGAGCTTCGGCCCGGTTGCAACGTGGCGCCTAACGCTTGCAGTGTGGAGCCATCGTGACGCCTAACGTAATTGAATGCGCCTGCCGGTACTCCCACTCCCCCCGCGAGTGGACGTAGTCCACGGGTCAGCCCCAGTCTTCTCTACAATGCAGGGACCCCTCGCATCCCTCGCCTCCACCTCCAGCCAGCGGCCACCTCCTCATCCCACGCCGTCCCCTCCACCCTCCCCTTACCCGCGAGGCCCCAGAGACACTCCACTTCCACGTGCACGCCATGGCGGGCAGATTCCGCGGCCGGAAGGCCGCGGGTCAGCCCTAGTCAGCTACAACGCTGGGATCAGTGCGTGCGAGAAGGGCGGGCGGTGGCAGCCGGCGCTAACACTGCTGAGCGAGATGCGGAAGGCGAAGCTGGAGCCCAACGTCATTCGTCGTTCGTCGTTCGTGCTTACCGCCGCGCACGCCACAGTAACGAAATCAACCAGCTGTCGTGGACGTAGTCCACGGGTTCGCCTAGTCTCTCCTACATGGCCAGTGGATCTGCGTGCGAGAAGCCCAGGGCCTCAAGTGCACAAAATCGCCCCTTTACGGCGCCACCACGGGGCCGAATCGCTCAGGCCGGTCCCAGAGGCGCTCCAGAGGGGTTCCCAGACCGTCCAAGAGCGCTCCAAGACGGCCTCAGTGGGTCCCGAGACGGGCCTCGAGGCCCCAATGACCTCAGAAGGTGGCTCCAAGACAGCTCCAAGAGGGCTCGCAGGGGGCCCTCCAACGGCCTGAGAGGGCCCCAAGACGGCTCCAAGAGGGCTCCAGGAGGGCCCGAAGAGGCTCCCAAGAGGGCCCCAGGAAACCCTCCAGAGAGCCCCAAGACGGTCCACGGCCTCCAAGACGCCCCGTGATGGCCCAGACGGGCCCCAAGACGTCCCAAAACGGCCCCAAAAGGGCCTTTGGACCACTGAGAAGGCGCACAGACGCCAAGTAAAAGAGCGGTCGGTACAGTAAAAAGCTCTTCAATCTAAGGCTCCCAAGAGCGAACGGTGTCAATGGGGAACCTCTGATGGTGACAAGAGAAGCGAAGTAAGTTGTACAGGAGGCTTATGGTGTACTCACCCGTGCTTCGACTAAGACCGATCCAGGACGGCCGAACAGGCCCCCAAGACAGCCCAGGAGGAGCCGTAGAGGGCTCCAAGAGCGGACCAAGACGGACCAAGACGGCCCCAAGGCAGCCCGAGAGTCGCCCACCGTCATCGGCCTTACGGCTGGGAGACGAAGGCCGTGGGATACGGCCGGGGCGTACCTTTCTTCCAGTAGTTCTTTCCGGCCGTGCGAGTTTTTACGTCCGGAAAAAGAGTCACGTTTTGGAAGGCTTCTGGGGCCATCTTGCAGTCACATGATATCGTCGTTCGTGCTTACCGCCGCGCACGCCACAGTAACGAAATCAACCAGCTGTCGTGGACGTAGTCCACGGGTTCGCCCTAGTCTCCTCTCCTACATGGCCAGTGGAAGCGCGTGCGAGAAGCCCAGGGCCTCAAGTGCACAAAATCGCCCTTTTACGGCGCCACCACGGGGCCGAATCGCTCAGGCCGGTCCCAGGCGCTCCAGAGGGGTTCCCAGACCGTCCAAGAGCGCTCCAAGACGGCCTCAGTGGGTCCCGAGACGGGCCTCGAGGCCCCAATGACCTCAGAAGGTGGCTCCAAGACGGCTCCAAGAGGGCTCGCAGGGGCCCTCCAACGGCCTGAGAGGGCCCCAAGACGGCTCCAAGAGGGCCCGAAGAGGCTCCCAAGAGGGCCCCAGGAAACCCTCCAGAGAGCCCCAAGACGGTCCACGGCCTCCAAAACGCCCCGTGATGGCCCAGACGGGCCCCAAGACGTCCCAAAACGGCCCCAAAAGGGCCTTTGGACCACTGAGAAGGCGCACAGACGCCAAATAAAAGAGCGGTCGGTACAGTAAAAAGCTCTTCAATCTAAGGCTCCCAAGAGCGAACGGTGTCAATGGGGAACCTCTGATGGTGACAAGAGAAGCGAAGTAAGTTGTACAGGAGGCTTATGGTGTACTCACCCGTGCTTCGACTAAGACCGATCCAGGACGGCCGAACAGGCCCCCAAGACAGCCCAGGAGGAGCCGTAGAGGGCTCCAAGAGCGGACCAAGACGGACCAAGACGGCCCCAAGGCAGCCCGAGAGTCGCCCACCGTCATCGGCCTTACGGCTGGGAGACGAAGGCCGTGGGATACGGTCAGGGCGTACCTTTCTTCCAGTAGTTCTTTCCGGCCGTGCGAGTTTTTACGTCCGGAAAAAGAGTCACGTTTTGGAAGGCTTCTGGGGCCATCTTGCAGTCACATGATATCGTCGTTCGTGCTTACCGCCGCGCACGCCATAGTAACGAAATCAACCAGCTGTCGTGGACGTAGTCCACGGGTTCGCCCTAGTCTCTCCTACATGGCCAGTGGAAGCGCGTGCGAGAAGCCCAGGGCCTCAAGTGCACAAAATCGCCCCCTTACGGCGCCACCACGGGGCCGAATCGCTCAGGCCGGTCCCAGAGGCGCTCCAGAGGGGTCCCAGACCGTCCAAGAGCGCTCCAAGACGGCCTCAGAGGGTCCCGAGACGACTCACGAGGGCCCGAAGTCTTCTGAGGGGGGCTCCACGACGATCCAAGAGGCCGCAAAGACGCCCCGAGAGGGCCCCGAGCGCACGCCAAAGAGGCACAAATCGTCCAATCCGATGGGAAAACGTACACGTTCAGCATGCCCGCCTTGTGTGCTCCTCAGCGGCCCAGGACACGCCAAGAGGCCTCCCAAATCGCCCCAATCAGACGCCAGCGGCCCCTAAGAGGGCCCCAAGACGGCCCACAAGAGCCCCAAGACGACGCCAGAGAGCCCTGAAACGGCCTCACAGAACCCCAAAACGGCCCCAAGAGAGCTCCGAGGGGGCCCCAAGAGGCTCCCAAGACGGCCTCAGGCAGCCTCAAGAGAGCTCCAAGACGGTCCAAGGCCTCCCGGACGCCCCGTGACGGCCCAAAAAGGCCCCAAAAGTTCCAAAACGCTCCCAGAGCGGCCCCAAAAAACGTCAGAACGCCCGAAAAAGACCCCCACAATGACCACCAAGCAGGCCCAGAGACGCCCACTAAAAGAGCGATCGGTGAAGGACAAAGCTCTTTTCACCAGAGCAGCGTAGAGAGCTCTCCCAGGCACAGCTCCCAAGAGCGAGCGGTGACGTCGGGACACCCTTCCGACCTCTCACACGGGAGCACGCACGCACAGCACGCAAGCACAATAGATTTCTTGGGCTGTCCCCCGGAAGAGGCTCGGGGGGACAGCCCGGGAACGGCCCCAGAGGCGCCCAAAGAAACTTCAAGAGAAAAGGCCCCCAGGAGGCCGCAAGACGGCCCAAGAGGGCCCCAAGAGGCCCCTAGGAGGCCGCAAGACAGCCAACGAGGCCCCAACAGGCCCCCAGGAGCTCGAAAAGAAACCCCGAGAGGCCCACTAACCGTTCCCAAGGAGACGGCAGCGCTCGCCATCAGGCTTCGAAGAGGCAGTCGGAAA